AGGGTGCGGAGCCTGGGGGTGCTGAGCCTGGAAGTGCTGAGTCAGCTGGAATTCCTGCAGGTGCCTTGTCTCGGCGGGAGCCTCTCTCTCCACCAGAGCTGCGCGAGTGGTTTGCTCGTCACCGGAGGCGCCACCGAGGTGCTGCTGGTACTGGAGCTGCTGGAGCCGCTGGAGCTGGAGGTGCTGCTGGAGCTGGAGTTGCTGGAGGTACAGCTGGAGGTGCTGGAGCCGCTGGTTCCGGAGGTGCTCATACTGGAGGTACTGGAGCTGCTGGAGCTGGTGGTGCTCCCGGCGTTGGAGCTGGAGGCGCTAGTGTTGTTACTACTGGAGGTGCTACTGGAGGCGCTGGAGCTGGTGGTGCTGCGGGAGTTGGAGCTGCAGACCCTGGAGCTGGGGGTACTAGTGCTATCTCTGCTGGTTCTGGTGGTGCTGCACGGTCGCGACCATACTTCGTTCCACTCCTTCAACAGGTTCTTGGTCTCCCGCCTTCTACCGGTCCTACTCCTCCCTTAGAGTTTCCACCGACTGTCTAGTGGCAGTCGCAGTTACAGCCAGCCTCCCCCCTACCTGGTCCTTCTCCTTACACTGGCCGACAAGAGGTCTTGCGGAGCGTCGTGAGCTTGAGTCTCGTCCTTCGTCGCCTGTTCGTGCTGCTCGCACTGGTCGTCGTGTTGCGCGTCCGCGTCCTTCTCGTGTCCCGGGCACGCACCAGATGGCACTCCGTCCTTCCTCTGTTCCACTGCGTATCCCTCTGCCGTCTCCTCCTGCGTCCTCCCTTGCTGACGTTCTGGACCCTGAGTCTGACTCCCTTCGTGCTGCTAGTCCTACTGTCACGCGTCTCCTGGCCACTATTGTCATTGACCCTTCGTTTGAGTCCACTGCTGTGTTTGCTCTAGTTGCTGAGCTTGTTGAATTTGCGGCCGCCTGTCGTCTCGACTACGCTGCTAGTCTTGTTGCTGAGTCTGAGTCTGTCTGTCCACTGTCCGTCGGGGGTGAGTGTGCTCTTGGCACGGACGTCTTTGAGGACAGGCAGGAGGAGTTTGAGTGCTTTGCCGCTGCTTTACCTCATCTCGTGTCCATGCTAGTTGCCCCTGAGGGAGACCCGGATGCACCAGACATCCCGACCCCGCGCTCTTACGCAGAGGCGATAGAGGGTCCCTACTCCTCTCAGTGGCAGTCAGCCATGGACGCAGAGATGGCTTCCTGGAAGTCCACAGGCACCTACGTCGACGAGGTTCCCCCACCTGGGGCGAACATCGTCAGTGGCATGTGGGTTTTCAGGGTGAAGCGGTCGCCGGGTTCTCCACCTGTCTTCAAGGCGCGTTACGTTGCACGAGGCTTCAGTCAGCGACAAGGAGTTGACTTCCTCTAGACCTTCTCCCCCACCCCGAAGATGACCAGTCTTCGGGTTCTGCTGCACGTAGCTGCTCAGCGTGACTAGGAGCTGCACTCTCTTGACTTCAGCACTGCTTTCCTACAGGGCAGCCTGCACGAGGAGATCTGGCTGCGCCGCCCACCTGGCTTCACTGGGTCGTTTCCTCCTGGTACCCAGTGGAGCCTCCGGCGGCCAGTCTACGGTCTCCGCCAGGCGCTCCGTGAGTGGCACAACACACTAAGGACGACCCTTGCAACTCTTGGCTTTGCTCCTTCTACTGCTGACCCATCGCTATTTCTACACACCGACACCTCTCTGCCGCCGTTATACGTCCTCGTGTACGTCGACGACTTGGTCTTTGCTACTTCTGACACTGACAGACTCGCCCACGTGAAGTTAGAGCTGCAGAAGAGACACACGTGCACAGTCCTGGGTGAGCTGCGCAGCTATCTTGGCTTGCGGATCACCTGGGACAGAGCACAGCGCACCATTACTTTGACTCAGTCACACATGGTGCAGCAGGTCCTTCGGCGCTTCGGCTTCACGTACTCCTCGCCACAGTCCACTCCTCTGCCTACTCGCCACTCGCTCTCAGCTCTGCCTTCGGATGAGTCCGTAGAGCCGAGTGGCCTGTATCCAGAGCTTGTGGGCTGCCTCATGTACCTGATGACCTGCACTCGACATGACCTTGCATATCCTCTTAGCATCTTGGCACGCTATGTTGCTCCTGGGAGACACAGGAAGGAGCACATGGATGCCGCTAAGAGGGTGTTGCGCTACTTGTGCAGTATGTCGGGCATGGGGCTCGTGCTTGGAGGACGGGCTCGAGTTGTCCTCACTGGTCACGCGGACGCTTCCTAGGCTGACGACTTGGCTACGCAGCGGTCGTCACAGGGTTACACTTTCTGCCTTGGCTCCGCTTCTGTTTCTTGGCGGTCTACCCGCTCGTCTTCTGTTCTCAGCTCCAGCTGCGAGGCTGAGATCTACGCAGGGGCCATGGTTGCACAGGAGTTACGCTGGCTCACCTACCTGCTGACCGACCTGGGAGAGCCACCTCGTTCTCCTCCAGTGTTGTACGTCGACAACAAGGCCATGATTGCCTTGTGTCAGGAGCACAGAATGGAGCACAGAATGAAGCACATCGCTCTGCGCTACTTCCTTGCTCGAGAGTTGCAGCAGCGTGGTCAGCTTCGTCTTACTTACGTGGCCACTCGGGCCAACACTGCTGATGTCTTCACCAAGGCACTTCAGCCTTATGATCATCAGCGTTTCTGTGTTGTTCTAGGCCTTGTGCCCACCGGGCTTCACTTGCTTACTTCTTGTCTGTGCTTGTACTGTGATCTCTATACGTATACCTGCATGCTTACACTTGCTAGGTTATGATCACTGTATTGTTTGTTCTCCTTTATATAACTCTGCATGTGAACTGGCCTTGTGGCCATTTGCTTGTGCTCAGAATGCGTGGTGACGTCGTGATCCACCCTGAGCTTGCTGTGCCTTTCTTGGCTGGTCTTGTAACCTCTTGTTCTCCCCCAATTTGCCTATGGGGGTGTGTCATATATGACATAGTCTGTGTAGGCTGTAGTGGGGTAGACGATATAGGGTACAACTCTTCCAGGTTTTCCTACTTTTACCCACCTGCTTGCCAATTCCAACATTCCTCGTTTCTAATTTCACATAGATTCTAGAACCTATGTTTCATATATGTTAGAAACATGTAGTTTGCGCTTCTGATGTGTCAAAACACTGAGTCGTAAGCGAGGCGAACTACAACGAAGCAACAGCGAATCAATCGAAGAGGTTTACAAAATATAACAGCAGGAGGCTGAGCGAAGGTCAAAGGTTAGCGACCCTTGACTCGCCGAAGTCGTTAAGCAGTTACAGTTAGTTAAAACATTCCGTATTCCTTGTAATCATATAAAGCTTGTATCTCCTTGCCATTATCGATTCATCTTGCTCTCACACACTGGTGCAAGGTGGTTCAAGCAGTTCACTACAACGCTTCCGCAATTACATCATTACCCCGAGTCTCAGCTTTGAAACGATCCTAAGGGCTTTCTCAGCCCAACAATTTATATATAAAGGTCACTTTCATAAGAGCGCGCATGATATTTGAAAATGGTAAAAGTTTACATATTTTATTCGAATGTAGCATTAGAACTGTAGGCGACCTTCGTGATTAGCGAAAATCGCACGTGATTTTCCAATGAGTGAGTCACACAACCAGTTCGAATTTGGATTTTCGAGCTTATAGGGATCGCTCCGGGCCGCCCGCAGGGATTGTAGGTTACCCGGTATGGTCGTTACTTTTTATCTGTGTTTCCGGTTGTCAGTTTCCTCGCTGAATTCGCCCATTCTTCGTACATACTCAAAAGAACGTATATTCGATTCAACGTGCGCACGCATGTTCACGTTCTGTGTCGAGTCAAGTTCATATTTCTAACTCGAAATTGTTGTGTATACAGATATTGGATTCCATTACAAGTCCTTGTTCACGATATTAACGAAACCGGTAAACATCCAAAGTTTGACGTAATATCTGTACCTTGAATATACCACGTATACCCGCTATGGTGCTCAACGCCTCGGCACGCCCCCGGTTCACCGGGTTTCGAAGCTTTCTCCTCTCTGAAACACGTTGCACCAAGAATCACGGTTGTTGGGGCGTGCTAGTGCGTGCCGGCGCGTGGGAGTCCGTGCACCAAAGCCGTGGTGATTCGTGGTACAAATCGCCTTTCAATGGTGGAAGCTTCCCGGTGCACCAGGTCATCCCGAGGTCTTCTCTTGATTGTGTGCAACTCTCCAAAGCCAAAACGAAGTGGCTTCCACTGGCAGGGTTACCAGCACGGCCTGAACTGTGTTATTAAAACATGTCTTCCTTGTTCCACATTACTCCTAGACTTCTAAGTGCTCTCGGTGAATAAGACGGTTATTTTGGATTAGCAGTAGTTTGTACACCATTGTAGCATTACATATGTGTCACACGTTTTTAGAATCGGATCACGTTACCCCTGATCTAAATTGATCGTGACATTCATTAGAGAAAAGTCTTGGCTCGGCTCACTGCTGTCACAACGTCGCCGGTACTAGCAGTGCTAGAACCCCGGCGAGCTGCAGCATCACGAGCCGCCTTCTAGTAGAATCGGCAAAAGAAACGCCTACGAGAGAGTCTGCTAGAAAAAAACGACCGTCATGGGGGACGGAGCTAGTAGAGGCGACGCGACTGCCGTCAACGATGAGAGAGAGAAACGGGATGATACTGCATCGGGAGGTCCACTAATTTTCTCTGCAGGAGTGCTATTCCAGGGTGAGAGTGACTGAAACGAATGGGTGGTTCCCGTGCTTTAGTATACCCAAGCGCGAAGGGACGACAGATGGTTGACAAACATCGAGGCGCTAAGGCGGCAGAGCGCGGCGCTCTCGGTGCGAGCGGCAAGATCAGTTTCGAAGAATGTTTAAGAACAGACCCCCGTGGCTCTCGCCGGGACCTCATCTCGCCGGGCTATCATCTCGCGGGGTGCTCCCCATGTGTCAATTTCGTAAAGAATCGAACAGTTTGAGTGGCGAGGCCATGGAAAGCCGAAGAAGGAGAAGAAGGGCACGAAGTTTTATAATTTAATCTGGCATGAAGGCCCTGGATGTGTGTTGTTGGTGCCGCTGTCTTTCTGATCGGCTCTCCCTCTCATTCCCTCATTCCCTTCTCATCCCTTCTCATCCCCTTCTCATCCCCTTCTCATTCCCTTCTCATCCCTTTTTCATTCCCTTCTCATTCCCTGCTCATTCCCTTCTCATCCCCTTTTCATTCCCTTCTCATCCCGTTTTCATTCCCTTTTCATTCCCTTCTCATCCCCTGCTCATCCCCTTCTCATTCTCTTCTCATCCCCTTCTCATTCCCTTCTCATTCCCTTCTCATTCCTTTCTCATTCATTCTCATTCCCTTCTCATCCCCTTCTCATCCCCTTCTCATCCCCTTCTCATTCCCTTATCATCCCCTTCTCATTCCCTTCTCATTCCCTTCTCATTTCCTTCTCATTTCCTTCTCATTCCCTTCTCATTCCCTTCTCATCCTTCTCATTTCCTTCTCATTCCCTTCTCATTCCCTTCCATTCTCATTCCCTTCACATTCCCTTCGCATTCCCTTCTCATCCCCTTCTCATCCCCTTCTCATTCCCTTCTCATTCCCTTCTCTCCCGCCTCGCGCTCCCCTCTCTTGCCCCTCGCTCAACCAGCGCCCTGGTTCACGATGCTGGTAGCGGCGTGGGTGCTGTGTGGGCTGGGCGTGGCAGCATGGCTGTTCTACTCCAACCACTCGCAGTATGAGGATTGCCCTACTAAGCTTAACCAGTTTTCTCTCTCGCTCTTCCCGCTCTCGCTTTCCCCAGTAGATCTCGCCCCACTCACCCCGCCCAGCGCCCTGGTTCACAGTGCTGGTGGCGGCGTGGGTGCTGTGTGGGCTGGGCGTGGCAGCATGGGTGCTCTACTGGAAGCACTCGCAGTACGAGGACTACCCTCCTAGCTTACCCCCTCTCCTCTCTCTCCTCTGTCTCAACCCCCTCCCAGCCCCTTGGTTCACAGTGCTCGTGGCAGCATGGGTGCTGTGTGGGCTGGCCGTGGCAGCATGGCTGCTCTACTGGAAGCACTCGCAGTATGAGGATCACAGGGAGGAGGCGCTGGGCGTGTGGTGCAAGGAGCGCGCCCTCATGCTGCAGCAGCTCGTGCTCACCCATGTGGGGCAGATGCAGGTAAGGCTGTTGAATTGGTGTTAGCGTCCTTGCCTCCTGCAGCATGGGTGCTGCCCTCGCGCCCTCGTGCTGTCATGCCTTCATGCTGCAGCAGCTCGTGCTCACCCATGTGGGGCACATGCAGGTAAGGCCGGAGTGGTGTCCAATCCATGTAAGGCTGGAGTGGTGTCTGCATTACCTTACCTCCTGCTGCATGGGTGCTGCTCTCTGCTCTCTGCTCTTTGCTCTCTGCTCTCTGCTCTCTGCTCTCTGCTCTCTGCTCTTTGCTCTCTGCTCTCTGCTCTCTGCTCTCTGCTCTCTGCTCTCTGCTCTCTGCTCTCTGCTCTCTGCTCTCTGCTCTCTGCTCTCCTGCCCTCATGCCCTCATTCTGCAGCAGCTCGTGCCCACTCATGTTGTCAGGCAGACGCAGGTAAGACTGGATTAGTGTCAGAGGTACGAAGGTTGGATTGGTGTCAGGGGTGTTTAATGGAGCACTTCATTTTCATCGTCAGTGTCCTAACCACTTCTGTAATATTGTTGTATTTCCTGTTGTTGTTACTGCTGCTGCTGCTGCTGCTGCTGCTGCTGCTGTTGCTGTCGGGTCGTCGTGCGTCGTCATCAGCGTCGTTGTTTGCTGTTCTCGCTGTTCTTGTTCCTATTCCTGTTTCTGTTCTGTTTCTCTTGCTGTTCCTGTTCCTGTGCCTGTTACTGTCCTTGTCCTTGTCGTTCTTATTATTCTCGTCCTGGTTCTCATCCTGTTTGTTGTCTTCTTGGTGCTCTTCTTGTTGTCGTCGCCGTCATCGTTGCCGCGGTGCCCTGCCCTGTATCCTCCCATCCCAGCACAGGCACTCACAGGCATCATCTCAGTGATGGGCAGGCTGGGGCAGAGAGGCAAGTGGGAGCTGGACAGGTGTTTGAACGGCAGCTCATGGGAGGCATACCTCACGCGCACCGCCTATGCTCGCCCCGGGAACACGGGGGCGTCTTCATGCGTCTTTGTCACGGATGAGGAGAGGTGAGAGAGGGAGGGGAGGGGGGAATGCGGTGGGAGGAAGAGGGTGTGTGTTTGAACGGCAGCTCGTGGGAAGCATACCTCACGCGCACCGCCTATGCTCGCCCCGGGAACACGGGGGCGTCTTCGTGCGTCTTTGTCACGGATGAGGAGAGGTGAGATAGTTGCGAGGTCAAAGCAACTCTTGAGGCGCCTCAAAACACGGGGGCGTCTTCATGCGTCTTTGTCACGGATGAGGAGAGGTGAGATAGTTGCGAGGTCAAAGCAACTCTTGAGGCGCCTCAAAACACGGGGGCGTCTTCATGCGTCTTTGTCACGGATGAGGAGAGGTGAGATAGTTGCGAGGTCAAAGCAACTCTTGAGGCGCCTCAAAACACGGGGGCGTCTTCATGCGTCTTTGTCACGGATGAGGAGAGGTGAGAGACGGAGGGGGTGGAGGGGCAGAATGCAGTTCAACATGCATTTCCTGAGCAACACAGCGGCGACTACTTGTGTCTTTGTCAGGGACGAGGAGAGGTGAGAGAGGGAGGGGGTTGCAGGGGAGGGAGGGGGTTGCAGGGCTGGAGGTGGGGGGGGGAGACGCAGAAGCTCTCTCACGTGTGTTTCTTATGAACGAGGAGAGATGGGGGTAGAATGAGGGAAAGAGGAAAGAGGGGAAGTGCGCATGTATGTTTAGAGTGAGGATGAGTGTTGTGATGTGGTAAACCCTGTCTTAACATGGCAGGATGACGATGAGTCAACCCAAATGCTCGAGTGTTGTGATATCTGGTGACCCATTCACCTCTTTCCTCTTTCCTCCTAATTCTCCACACACACATTGCTACAGGACCACTTTCGAGCGACAACACGGTACCGGAAAGGACAGCAACAAGAGCGTCAGCGCCCACCGCCCCATCTACTGCCCCATGATCCTCTACTTCTCCACAGTCGTGGTATCAATTTCTCCCATGATCCTCATGGCACATCAACCTCATGAAGCGAGTTTCCTCCCTCTTTCCGGCCTCCTCTTTCCTCGTTCCCCCCGATTCACCCCACAAACGTCACTGCTTCAGGGCTTCATTTGAGCGACAACACGGTACCATAAAAGATAACAACAAGAACGTCAGTGCCCACCGCCCCATCTACTGCCCCAAGATCCTCGATTTCTCCACAGTCGTGGTATCGAATGGCTCATGGCACATTGATCTAATGAAGCGCTTTTCCACGGAGATTCCACTTGCTGTGGCGGGAAAATCGCTCTACACCTGGCCGTATCCCATGAGTACTCCTACCGACCATGCAGGATTCGGTGAGTCCCCTTTTGAGTTTTTTTTTTTTTTTTTTTTTTTTTTTTTTTTTTTTTTCCATTTTGAATCGAAGATAAGACAGGTCGGGTGAGTGGGTTGTTGTTCCTAATGGTCAGTGCCGAGAGCTAAGTGGCATACGACGCACTTGCGATTTGAAATCCTCACCTCCGGTTGGTCTGGGCGGATTCATAAAACGCTTGTTCGGCCAGGTAAAAGCAAACGGGGCAGGACAGGTTAAGGACACGGCACTTGAAGATTCAGTGCACTGCAGTGCCTTATCGTTGTGCCCTCACACTGTTTAACCCTCATATTGTTTAACCCTCATATTGTTCAACCCTCACATTGTCGCCTCTGGCACTGCAGGCTTGGGTTTTCCTCTTCGGCGCACTGTCTCTCCGACCAATGCAAGCACGGCAGCTGCATCGACAGTGTATGGCACGCTTGCTACAACTGTTGACGTGACTTCCATCGCACAGAAGGTTCTAGAGGAGCTGTATGCACCTGGTGAGTTAAGACTGTATGCACCTGGTGAGTTAAGACTGTATGCACCTGGTGAGTTAAGACTGTATGCACCTGATGAGTTAAGACTGTATGCACCTGGTGAGTTAAGACTGTATGCACCTGGTGAGTTAAGACTGTATGCACCTGGTGAGTTAAGACTGTATGCACCTGGTGAGTTAAGACTGTATGCACCTGGTGAGTTAAGACTGTATGCACCTGGTGAGTTAAGGGCTGCATGCACCTGGGGGTTAGGGTTTAGGGTAGGGCTGTGAGTTAAAGCCAGGGTTTCACGTACTACAAGTGTTTTGCAGTTGACTGTGCAAGTTTGTTTGTGATTGGTTGGCGAGTTGTGAAGTTTGAAGAGGGGTGAAGCGAGGAGTACGAAACGAATCAGGTGTAGTCGAACCTTCTAAGTTTGTAAATATGGTTCGGATCCAAACCTAAAATGCCCCAGAATCGTCAAAAATCTCACGTACTCAATCCTTGTTGTGCAATTGCTTTTGAGGCACTGACGGTGGTAGGTTTCCAACCCAACCAAAGAGAAATTTGCCTGCACTAACTAGGTAACCTAGCTCGAACTGCTTTGCAGTGGACGGCTGCTTTGCTTACTTGAGACCCTGGCTTTAAGGGGGCTGTATGCACCTGTATGAAAACCCACGTTCCTTCCAAAACCCTCCCCTCCACCATTCCACTCCATCTACACCCATCAAAGTTGGTCGATATGTACAATGTTATGGGCCCGTCTTCTCCCTTAGAGGATAGAGTGCACGGGTCCATACTTTTCACCTTCCTCATACGTGATTCATAGCCTTAGGATCCTCCTCTTGAGTCGACTCAAAACAAGGTGACTTTTGAGTCGACTCAAGCACATCCTCACACGTCATTTACGACCTTGGGCTCCTAATCTTGTGCTATGTGATCTACAGGGTCATTGTAAGCCTCTGTCTTCTCCTTCACAGTTGAAATTGATTGGATTCGAAACGCAGCAAGCCTGCTAAGAGTAATTGATTGGATTTGAAATTGATCTGTAGCCTCTGTCTTCTCCTTCCACTCTCCCCCTTCTCCTTTCCCCCGCCCTCTTCCCTTCCCTTCCATCTAGACTCGTCAAAATCGTTCGAGATGTACGATGTTACAGACCCGTCGTCTCTCTTCGCCATCACCTCTCCAGTCCCACCGCACGTCTACTTCCGACCCAACGACCCTCGCCCCAACATGCTTCCCTCTCCACTGTCCGAAACTCGCCCCTGGGAGGGACCGGCTGTAGTGCCTCTAGAAGAGCTGGGAGCAGGCGTACGCAAGTATGAGGGTTGGTGCAGGTGAGTCATTTTCTAAGTAGGCTCGATCTGAATTCCTTTTTAAGTTGGATAGACTCAAAAGCATTTAGAAGAGCTGTGAGCAGGCGTGCGCAAGTATGAGGGTTGGTGCAGGTGAGCCAATTTTTTAAGTAAGCTTAATCTGAACCCTTTTGAATTGACTCAAAAGCATTTGGATAAGCTGGGAGTAGTCGAGCGCAAGTATGAAGGTTGGTGTAGGTGAGTAATTTTAAGCGGGCTCAATCTGAACCCTTTTGGGTTGACTCAAAAGCATTTGGATAAGCTGGGAGCTGGCGTGTGCACATATGATGGTTGGTGCATGTGAGTCATTTTTTTAGTAAGCACAATCTGATTTCGCTCAATAAGCTCAATATGATGGTTGGGTTGACTCTAAAGCATTTGGATGAGCTGGGAGCAGGCGTGCGCAAGTATGCTATGAGGGTTGGTGTAGGTGAGCTTTCTGGAGCATTGGAAGGACACAAAGCATGTCCGCTCCTTCATACTTGCACGTTAGTGATAGTGCTGACACACCCCTTTACACAAAGCATGTCCGCTCCTTCATACTTGCACGTTAGTGATAGTGCTGACACACCCCTTTACACAAAGCATGTCCGCTCCTTCATACTTGCACGTTAGTGATAGTGCTGACACACCCCTTTACACAAAGCATGTCCGCTCCTTCATACTTGCACGTTAGTGATAGTGCTGACACACCCCTTTACACAAAGCATGTCCGCTCCTTCATACTTGCACGTTAGTGATAGTGCTGACACACCCCTTTACACAAAGCATGTCCGCTCCTTCATACTTGCACGTTAGTGATAGTGCTGACACACCCCTTTACACAAAGCATGTCCGCTCCTTCATACTTGCACGTTAGTGATAGTGCTGACACACCCCTTTACACAAAGCATGTCCGCTCCTTCATACTTGCACGTTAGTGATAGTGCTGACACACCCCTTTACACAAAGCATGTCCGCTCCTTCATACTTGCACGTTAGTGATAGTGCTGACACACCCCTTTACACAAAGCATGTCCGCTCCTTCATACTTGCACGTTAGTGATAGTGCTGACACACCCCTTTACACAAAGCATGTCCGCTCCTTCATACTTGCACGTTAGTGATAGTGCTGACACACCCCTTTACACAAAGCATGTCCGCTCCTTCATACTTGCACGTTAGTGATAGTGCTGACACACCCCTTTACACAAAGCATGTCCGCTCCTTCATACTTGCACGTTAGTGATAGTGCTGACACACCCCTTTACACAAAGCATGTCCGCTCCTTCATACTTGCACGTTAGTGATAGTGCTGACACACCCCTTTACACAAAGCATGTCCGCTCCTTCATACTTGCACGTTAGTGATAGTGCTGACACACCCCTTTACACAAAGCATGTCCGCTCCTTCATACTTGCACGTTAGTGATAGTGCTGACACACCCCTTTACACAAAGCATGTCCGCTCCTTCATACTTGCACGTTAGTGATAGTGCTGACACACCCCTTTACACAAAGCATGTCCGCTCCTTCATACTTGCACGTTAGTGATAGTGCTGACACACCCCTTTACACAAAGCATGTCCGCTCCTTCATACTTGCACGTTAGTGATAGTGCTGACACACCCCTTTACACAAAGCATGTCCGCTCCTTCATACTTGCACGTTAGTGATAGTGCTGACACACCCCTTTACACAAAGCATGTCCGCTCCTTCATACTTGCACGTTAGTGATAGTGCTGACACACCCCTTTACACAAAGCATGTCCGCTCCTTCATACTTGCACGTTAGTGATAGTGCTGACACACCCCTTTACACAAAGCATGTCCGCTCCTTCATACTTGCACGTTAGTGATAGTGCTGACACACCCCTTTACACAAAGCATGTCCGCTCCTTCATACTTGCACGTTAGTGATAGTGCTGACACACCCCTTTACACAAAGCATGTCCGCTCCTTCATACTTGCACGTTAGTGATAGTGCTGACACACCCCTTTACACAAAGCATGTCCGCTCCTTCATACTTGCACGTTAGTGATAGTGCTGACACACCCCTTTACACAAAGCATGTCCGCTCCTTCATACTTGCACGTTAGTGATAGTGCTGACACACCCCTTTACACAAAGCATGTCCGCTCCTTCATACTTGCACGTTAGTGATAGTGCTGACACACCCCTTTACACAAAGCATGTCCGCTCCTTCATACTTGCACGTTAGTGATAGTGCTGACACACCCCTTTACACAAAGCATGTCCGCTCCTTCATACTTGCACGTTAGTGATAGTGCTGACACACCCCTTTACACAAAGCATGTCCGCTCCTTCATACTTGCACGTTAGTGATAGTGCTGACACACCCCTTTACACAAAGCATGTCCGCTCCTTCATACTTGCACGTTAGTGATAGTGCTGACACACCCCTTTACACAAAGCATGTCCGCTCCTTCATACTTGCACGTTAGTGATAGTGCTGACACACCCCTTTACACAAAGCATGTCCGCTCCTTCATACTTGCACGTTAGTGATAGTGCTGACACACCCCTTTACACAAAGCATGTCCGCTCCTTCATACTTGCACGTTAGTGATAGTGCTGACACACCCCTTTACACAAAGCATGTCCGCTCCTTCATACTTGCACGTTAGTGATAGTGCTGACACACCCCTTTACACAAAGCATGTCCGCTCCTTCATACTTGCACGTTAGTGATAGTGCTGACACACCCCTTTACACAAAGCATGTCCGCTCCTTCATACTTGCACGTTAGTGATAGTGCTGACACACCCCTTTACACAAAGCATGTCCGCTCCTTCATACTTGCACGTTAGTGATAGTGCTGACACACCCCTTTACACAAAGCATGTCCGCTCCTTCATACTTGCACGTTAGTGATAGTGCTGACACACCCCTTTACACAAAGCATGTCCGCTCCTTCATACTTGCACGTTAGTGATAGTGCTGACACACCCCTTTACACAAAGCATGTCCGCTCCTTCATACTTGCACGTTAGTGATAGTGCTGACACACCCCTTTACACAAAGCATGTCCGCTCCTTCATACTTGCACGTTAGTGATAGTGCTGACACACCCCTTTACACAAAGCATGTCCGCTCCTTCATACTTGCACGTTAGTGATAGTGCTGACACACCCCTTTACACAAAGCATGTCCGCTCCTTCATACTTGCACGTTAGTGATAGTGCTGACACACCCCTTTACACAAAGCATGTCCGCTCCTTCATACTTGCACGTTAGTGATAGTGCTGACACACCCCTTTACACAAAGCATGTCCGCTCCTTCATACTTGCACGTTAGTGATAGTGCTGACACACCCCTTTACACAAAGCATGTCCGCTCCTTCATACTTGCACGTTAGTGATAGTGCTGACACACCCCTTTACACAAAGCATGTCCGCTCCTTCATACTTGCACGTTAGTGATAGTGCTGACACACCCCTTTACACAAAGCATGTCCGCTCCTTCATACTTGCACGTTAGTGATAGTGCTGACACACCCCTTTACACAAAGCATGTCCGCTCCTTCATACTTGCACGTTAGTGATAGTGCTGACACACCCCTTTACACAAAGCATGTCCGCTCCTTCATACTTGCACGTTAGTGATAGTGCTGACACACCCCTTTACACAAAGCATGTCCGCTCCTTCATACTTGCACGTTAGTGATAGTGCTGACACACCCCTTTACACAAAGCATGTCCGCTCCTTCATACTTGCACGTTAGTGATAGTGCTGACACACCCCTTTACACAAAGCATGTCCGCTCCTTCATACTTGCACGTTAGTGATAGTGCTGACACACCCCTTTACACAAAGCATGTCCGCTCCTTCATACTTGCACGTTAGTGATAGTGCTGACACACCCCTTTACACAAAGCATGTCCGCTCCTTCATACTTGCACGTTAGTGATAGTGCTGACACACCCCTTTACACAAAGCATGTCCGCTCCTTCATACTTGCACGTTAGTGATAGTGCTGACACACCCCTTTACACAAAGCATGTCCGCTCCTTCATACTTGCACGTTAGTGATAGTGCTGACACACCCCTTTACACAAAGCATGTCCGCTCCTTCATACTTGCACGTTAGTGATAGTGCTGACACACCCCTTTACACAAAGCATGTCCGCTCCTTCATACTTGCACGTTAGTGATAGTGCTGACACACCCCTTTACACAAAGCATGTCCGCTCCTTCATACTTGCACGTTAGTGATAGTGCTGACACACCCCTTTACACAAAGCATGTCCGCTCCTTCATACTTGCACGTTAGTGATAGTGCTGACACACCCCTTTACACAAAGCATGTCCGCTCCTTCATACTTGCACGTTAGTGATAGTGCTGACACACCCCTTTACACAAAGCATGTCCGCTCCTTCATACTTGCACGTTAGTGATAGTGCTGACACACCCCTTTACACAAAGCATGTCCGCTCCTTCATACTTGCACGTTAGTGATAGTGCTGACACACCCCTTTACACAAAGCATGTCCGCTCCTTCATACTTGCACGTTAGTGATAGTGCTGACACACCCCTTTACACAAAGCATGTCCGCTCCTTCATACTTGCACGTTAGTGATAGTGCTGACACACCCCTTTACACAAAGCATGTCCGCTCCTTCATACTTGCACGTTAGTGATAGTGCTGACACACCCCTTTACACAAAGCATGTCCGCTCCTTCATACTTGCACGTTAGTGATAGTGCTGACACACCCCTTTACACAAAGCATGTCCGCTCCTTCATACTTGCACGTTAGTGATAGTGCTGACACACCCCTTTACACAAAGCATGTCCGCTCCTTCATACTTGCACGTTAGTGATAGTGCTGACACACCCCTTTACACAAAGCATGTCCGCTCCTTCATACTTGCACGTTAGTGATAGTGCTGACACACCCCTTTACACAAAGCATGTCCGCTCCTTCATACTTGCACGTTAGTGATAGTGCTGACACACCCCTTTACACAAAGCATGTCCGC